GGGGAATCGCCTCTATTGGACTGGCCTGTGGCCATGTCTGAGGGGCATCTTCTTGATGAGTGATGTGGGAGGGCCTAGCCCATTGTGGGTGGTGCCCCCCCGGGCAGGTGGGCCTGTGTTGCATAAGAAAGCAGGCTGAGCAGGGAGGGGCCAGGGGAGCAAGCCAGTAAGCAGCATTCCTCCATGGCCTGTGCTCCAGCACCTACCTCCAGGTTCCTGCCCTGAGTTCCTACCTGGGGCTCCCGGACGAACTGTGACCCGGGATATGTAAGCTAAATAAACCCTTTCCTCCCCAAGGTGGTATTGGTCAGAGTATTTTGTCACAGCAATGAAGAAACAAACTAAGACAATGGTTAATCAACTGGGTTTGGATTCACTGAAGAGACAGGTCTGGGCGTGTCTGTGAGGGATTATCTTGGTTAGGGAAGACCCCCCTGAGTGTGTGCAGCAGCACCCCATGGGCTGGGGTCCTGGACTGAACAGAAAGGAGAAAGTGAGCCAAGCGCCAGCATTTGGCTCTCTTCCTGACTGTGGATGCATGTGACCAGCTGCTGCCGTGGCTCCCCACGATGCACTGTATCCCTTGAACTGTGAGCCAAAAATAAATGCTTCCCTCTGTAAACTGTCAAGTATTCTGTCACAGCAATGAGAAAAATAACCAGTACACTCGCCAGCACCAGCCACCATCTATGTAAAACAATGCCAGCACCCTATCAGCAGCTCTGTGGGCACTTCCTGCCACAGAGACTTCCTGCGGGAACCCTTCCCTGTTTCTGTTTGTGCTGAGGGGGAGCTGAGGTGGCAGAGCTGCTGGGACCTTGGCATGCTAGTGCCCTGGGCGGCTCACTTGCCGTTCTCCCAAAGAAAACACCATGTCCTAGCTTATCTAAAGCAGTGCTGTACACAGTCCACCTTCCCAGGAAAAGGGTAACACTCAAGAGTGGAGAGGGGCAGAGGAGGCGGCGGTGGCAGGATACGTCCAGAGGACTGGAACAGGTCACAGGAAGCATAGCCATGGAAAGCAGGCTGAGCAGGGAGGGGCCAGGGGAGCAAGCCAGTAAGCAGCATTCCTCCATGGCCTGTGCTCCAGCACCTACCTCCAGGTTCCTGCCCTGAGTTCCTACCTGGGGCTCCCGGACGAACTGTGACCCGGGATATGTAAGCTAAATAAACCCTTTCCTCCCCAAGGTGGTATTGGTCAGAGTATTTTGTCACAGCAATGAAGAAACAAACTAAGACAATGGTTAATCAACTGGGTTTGGATTCACTGAAGAGACAGGTCTGGGCGTGTCTGTGAGGGATTATCTTGGTTAGGGAAGACCCCCCTGAGTGTGTGCAGCAGCACCCCATGGGCTGGGGTCCTGGACTGAACAGAAAGGAGAAAGTGAGCCAAGCGCCAGCATTTGGCTCTCTTCCTGACTGTGGATGCATGTGACCAGCTGCTGCCGTGGCTCCCCACGATGCACTGTATCCCTTGAACTGTGAGCCAAAAATAAATGCTTCCCTCTGTAAACTGTCAAGTATTCTGTCACAGCAATGAGCAAAATAACCAGTACACTCGCCAGCACCAGCCACCATCTATGTAAAACAATGCCAGCACCCTATCAGCAGCTCTGTGGGCACTTCCTGCCACAGAGACTTCCTGCGGGAACCCTTCCCTGTTTCTGTTTGTGCTGAGGGGGAGCTGAGGCGGCAGAGCTGCTGGGACCTTGGCACGCTAGTGCCCTGGGCGGCTCACTTGCCGTTCTCCCAAAGAAAATACCATGTCCTAGCTTATCTAAAGCAGTGCTGTACAAAGTCCACCTTCCTAGGAAAAGGGTAACACTCAAGAGTGGAGAGGGGCAGAGGAGGCGGCGGTGGCAGGATACGGCCAGAGGACTGGAACAGGTCACAGGAAGCACAGCCATGTAACCTCTCAGGACGTCTGAGTCCTCAGTCACAGCAGGGAGAGTGAAGATGGCCAGGAGGAGCTGCCATCAGAGGAATGTGCGCTGGGCAGCTGGTCGTGGTGGCACACACCTTTAATCCCAGCACTTGGGAGGCAGAGGCAGGAGGATCAAGGCTAGTTTCATGTTCACAGCGAGTCCCAGAATAGCCAGGGGCTACATAGAGAGACCCTGTCTCAAAAAAAAAAAAAAGTATACCCTGAATATGACAGAGCTTCATGGTGCAAAGGTGGAGCAGAGGCTCGTAGCTCAGAAGCTCAACTATGAGGTGAGGAAGGCCCTGAACTGCCACCTGAGGGCTCACAGGCGTCACCGTGTCCACACAGTACATAGGATAGTGTGCAGGACTCGAGGGACTCTGGACTACACAGATGTGTGTTCCCGTTCCACCTGTGTACGATACACCATAAGAAGGGACAGAATGCCCCGAAAGGGGAAGGCCACAAGCTGGAAGGCAGGCTGATCCGGACTTCATCCCTGACCGCACCTCTGTGCCCCGTAAACCCACAGGTGAGATGTACGGTCAAGAGGCTCTGCATGTGGCTCAGGTTGGAGGCACACAGGTGCGACGCCGTCGCCATGTCATCTAAGCGCTATTGACCAAACCACTCTCTGGATTCCGTTTCCTCGCCTGTGGCTAAGGTCCCCATATCACCTTTCTAAGACCTATGTGACCAAGTGTCCATTACTCAACCTCTCTGGGCTGCTTCCTGACCTATCAACGACATGGTAAACGCTGACAGCGGGTTGGTGTGGCAACCCTGTCCCATGTGCCCCTTTCCTGCCTCTACCACAGAGACAAAGCCACCGTTCTCACCAACGGGATGAGCAGATGCCAGAGTTCTGGCCAGAAGGCTTCAGAAAAAGAAAGCAAAACTTGGCAAGAGGAGGCTGTGCCTTTTACCCCCACACAGATTCAGCAGCCGTTTTGTGACCAGGAGGATGAGGATGGTGCATGGGGAGAGTTGACTGTCTGGTTCTTTTGTAACAGCTACCAAATGCCAGTTTGTACCAGTCCTGGATCTCCTGTTGTGATAAATCTGTCACCAGTGCGAGCTGTTGTTGATCAAGTTAGCTTTTTCAAAACAGACATAAAGGGATAAAGACAGGCTCCATTTACTGTGCTGCAGCAGGAAATGAGCAAATGTGTACAGTGCAGGGTGCACAGCCTGGCACGCAACAGCTGAGTGAACAGTGACTTGCCTGTGGACAGCTCTGGAGAAGGGATCCTGGCGCCCCTCTGTGAGTCCCTACAGCCCCTTGGGAGTTGCTGCGTGGAGCTTGGGAAGCAGAAGTCGGGTGGGCGGGACCTACCTCGATCGCTGAAGTCATCCACCAGTATGACCTCAGCAACCAGCTCCGGGGGAGAACGGTTGAGCACGCTGTGGACAGTGCGGAGGAGTGAAGACCAGCCCTCGTTGTGGAAGGGGATGATGATGCTGGTGTTGGGTAGGGTCTCCAGGTACCGCTTGCTGTTGCAGCTGGAGGGAGACACAGAAGGGGGAGGACAGGGTTAGTGTCACCAAGTCACAAGAACTCAAGGCAGGGTCAGGCTAACGGGAAGCCCGACGTCCTCTGCAGTCATTAGGGAACGAGAGAGCTGGGAAAAGCCACTGCAGGACTTCGTTCTCCGCCTCTTGAAGTCCTGCCTCCGCTGCCAGCACACAGGAACCTGCCTTTGTACGAAGTCAGGCTTCCACGCAGACAGCCTTTCTGGAACACTCTGCCCCTCCTGTTGAGACTGGAACTCGGGCAGCAAAGGCCGGCTTTTGTCTCTTCTCCACACAGAGCTAAAACCCTTCCTGTCTCCTTAGTAGAGGTGATGGGGACCCTTTGGTTCTAATACTTGGTTTCCGACCCTTGTCCTAACCCTGTGGAAGTTCCAGGGTGGGGCACCTCTTGTTCTAATGAGGTGACTTGTATCAGGCTCCATGAGGAGAACTGGTCACCTGAGCACCACACTGTGATCAGAAATTTGGCCCCATCTCCCCAATCCTCTGGGAAGGGGTGCCTGACAACAAGCAACTTCGGAGAGGAAGGGTTTATTCTGGTTCATAGTTTAAGAAGAGGGAAGGTTGTGATCAGAAATTTGGCCCCATCTCCCCAATCCTCTGGGAAGGGGTGCCTGTTGCTGTGGCCAAATGCCACAGAAGAAGAGGGAAGGCCCCTCCTGGCCGGGAAGGCACAGGGGCAGGAGCGTGAGGGAGCTGGTCACATCGTGTCCTAGCCAGCAGCAGACAGAAAGGAAAGGGGAACGGGGCTATCGAATGTCCAGGCCTGCCCTCGGGGACTCACTTCCTCCAGCAAGGCTCCACATCTAAAGGTTCCATCACTTTCCTAACCAGCACACCAGCTGGACACCAAGTGTTCAAACACAGGAGCCTGAGGGGTCGTTTCCCACTCAAATCACAATCAGAGTCCAGGAAGAGGGGACTGAGCTAGTCGCCCATCAAGCCTGGAAGAGATGGAGCCTCCATGAGCATCCCTGAACCAAGGGAGTGCTCTGAAGTCAGTAACACAAGGGTGCTGGGTGGGGCACTGAGGGTCCATGCCCCTTCCACCGAATGGGCCCCAGGTAGCTTCCCGCCTGGCTGTTCATCTGCATCCTGTGTAATGTCCTTTATAATGAACCGGGAAAAGTGAGCTCTTAACCTGTGGGGTCTGACTGTAACTCCAGGTGACTGCATCAGAACTGGTCTGAATTACAGCACACTCAGCTGGTTTCAGGGAATGGCCCGTTGGTAGAAAAAAAAGATTTTTCTCCCATTATACAATATGGCTAAACGTTCCTCTCCAGTGGGGAAGGAATGACTTGTCTGCACATTTGGAAGAACAGACTGGCTATCCTGGCTCAGCACTCCTCTCTCCCTCCTGGGCTGGGCTCTCCACCCAAACACCGTTAGTTCAGAGACGGGCCCTGCCTTCTGCAGGTACCCAGAGTTACCAGTTAGTTTGTTCAAATGAGGATCAAAGCCAAAGTCAACACACTGCATTAGCTGACTTGTCTCCTGAGCGTCTTTGATATATAAGTTGCCCCCTGTGACAGTCAGTTTCAGAGGCCAATGTGGCACAAACCAGTCACCTGGGAAGAAGGAGCCTCCATTGATGAACTTCCTCCATTGGTTGCTGATTTATGTAGGAGGGTCCAGCCCACGGTAGGCAGTGCCGTCCCTGGGAAGGTGGGCCCGGGTTGTATCAAGCTGAGGTTCCAGGGGAGCAAGCCAGTTAGGTGTTCCTCCATGGTCTCCACGTAAGGTCCTGATTCCAGATTCCTGCTTTGGTGTTGCTGGAGGAAGGACTGTACCCTGTAGGCCAGAATCCACCCTTTCCTTCTTTTTTATTATTACTTTTATGTGTAGGAGTGTATTGCCTGCATGTATGTAATGCACCCGTGTCGTGCAATGCTCGTGGAGGTCACAGGTGTCCAGTCCCTTAGAACTGGAGTTATGGATTGGTGCTAGCCACCATGTGGGTGCTGAGAATCGAACCCGAGTCCTCTTCAAGAGCAGTGGGTGCTCTTCACGGCTGAGCGAACTCTCCAGCCCCACACGTTTTCCTTCTCTAGTTGGTTTTGGTCATGGTGTTTATCACAGCGACAGAAAAGAAACAGTAGCCCTACTGGCCACTTTCCCTCCAGGACCCCCAGCGGCCAGCATCTGGACACTTGCATTTCCCCACCTCACAGAGGACGCCTCTGCCGCCTTCCCTCTGGCTCCTGTAAACTCATCTAGACCTAAGAAGTAAGAGGTCCTGGCAACCTCTTTAGAGTGGGCTGAGTGCGTCCCTCAAGAGACGCATTCTGTCTCTTGTGGTGGAGGTGTGAGGATAGTCCACACACATACAGAAGACATACGGCC